AGTCACCACTGGGGCACTGCCTAGTGGACCTGTGAGAAGCAGGCCACCATCCTCCAGACTTCAGACCCCAGAATGGCAGATCCACCAACAGCTTGTACTGTGTGCCTGGAAAAGCCACAGATGCTCAATGCCAGCCTGTGAAAGCAGCTGGGAGGGGGGCTGTACCCTGCAAAGCCACAAGGGCAGAGCTACCCAAGGCCGTGGATATCAGCATGACCTGGATATGAGACATGGAGTCAAAGGAGATAATTTTGGAAGTTTAAGGCTTAATGACTGGCCTATTGGATTTCGGACTTGCATGGGGCCTGTGGCCCCTTTGTTTTGGCTGATTTCTCCTATTTAGAATGGGTGTATTTACCCAATGCCTGTACCCACATCGAATCTAGGAAGCAACTAACTTGCTTTCAATTTTACAGGTCCTTATGTAGAAGGGAACTGCCTTGTCTCAGATGAGACTTTGGATTTGGACTTTTGGATTAATGCTGGAATGAGCTAAGCCTTTGGGGGACTGTTGGAAAGGCATAATTGTGTTTTGAAATGTGAGGACATGAGATTTGGGAGGGGCCAGGGGTGAAATGATATGGTTTGGCTATGTCCCCACCCAAATCTCATCTTGAATTATAGTTCCCACAATCCCCATATGTGGTGGAAGGGACCCAGTGGGAGGTAATTGAATCATTGGCTTGGTTACCCCATGCTGTTCTCATGATAATGAGTCAGTTCTCATGAGATCTGATGGTTTTATAAAGGGTTTTTCCCCCTTTGCTTGGCACTTCTCTTTCCTGCCACCTTGTGAAGAAGGATGTGTTTGCTTCCCCTTCCATGATCATTGTAAGTTTCTTGAGGTCTCCCGGACAGCCATGCAGAACTGTGAGTCAAGTAAACACTTTTTCTTTATAAATTACCCAGTCTTGGGTATTTCTTCGTATCAGTGTAGGAATAGACTAATACAGACTCAATGTCTGCTCTCCATCAATGTCATATTTAAACATTGTGCCAAGTGACTGAGCCGCCTCGGCTGGTCTCTGCTGCCTGGGGTCTGCTTGTCACTTGATCCTCTTCCTGGGAGGAACTGGGAATGTGAGATGATGTAGGGTTGTGTCCAGAGGGTCAGGCATTCATGTGTTTGTGGCATCCAATATAATTACAAGGCCAAGACATCCATGTCCAAGGAGAAGGCCCCAGGGTTAGACCCAGGAGCCCAGACTAAAGGCAGTATGGGCGAGTCAGCCAGGGTGGGAGGGGAATGTTCTTTTTTTCAAAAACAGGAGGCCAGGAGGAAGAGTTAAGAAGTCTGTGCTGTTCTCCACTGGTCAGGCAGTTGAGGAATATGGCCAGATCAGTCCTCAATGATCCCATTGTTTGCTAGAGATTTCCACTCTCTGAGCCACCCTAATGGGGAAGGAGTTGAGGGCTAGGATTGCTTGGGAACTAATGGGATGGGGCTACTTTTCTAAGCTTTTTATACCACAGGGGCAGGACAAGGGCTGCAGGGGATTGAATGAAAGGGCAGGAGAGAAGTTCATCTATGGAAGAGGCCCAGTGGTGAGATAATAAAATGTGTCAGCAAATTTTGTTTTCATTATTGAGTTGAAATCCACATAACATAAAATCAACCATTTTGAAATGTATAATTCAGTGGCATTTAGTACATTCACAATGTTGTGTAACCATCACCAGTTAGTTCCAAAACATTTTCATCTCCCTAAAAGGAGACCCTGTACTCATTAAGCAGTCACTCTCCATCCTTCCTTCCCCTAGACCATGGCAGCCACTAATCTGCTTTCTGTCTCTATGAATTTACATATTCTAGACATTTCATATAAATGGAATCATAAAATTTGTAATCTTTCGTGTCTGATTTCTTTCACTTAGCATAATATTTTCAAAGTTCATCCACCATGTAATATGTGTCAAATACTTCATTGTGGGATTATTTTGGGGCTGAATAATATTCCAGTGTATAAATATACCAAGTTTTGTTTATTCATTTATCAGTTGATAGACTGATAGACATTTGGGTTGTTTCCACCTTCTAGCTATTGTAAACAGTGCTGCTATGAAAATTCATGTTTCAGCACCAGCTTTCAGTCCTTTGAGTATGTACCTAGGAGTGGAAATGCTGAGCTATAGGATAATTCTAGGTTTAACTACTTGAGGAACCACCAGTTTTCCACAGTGGCTGCTGTACCAGTTTACATGCCCATTAGTAATGAACAAGGGTTCCAATTTCTCCACATCCTCACCAACACTTGCTATTTTAAATTTTTTTTAAAAAAGTTGAGCTGTGCATAGTGACTCACACCTGTAATTCCAGCACTTTAGGAGGCTGAGGAGGTTGATCACTTGAGGCCAGGAGTTCGAGACCAGCCTGACCAACATGGCGAAACCCCGTCTCTACAAAAAATTCAAAAACTAGCCAGGTGTGGTGGCCACGTCTGTAATCCCAGCTACTTGGGAGGCTGAGGCATGAGAATCACTTGAACCTAGGAGGCAGAGGTTGCAGTGAGCTTAGATTGTGTCACTGCTCTCCAGCCTGGGCATTGCAAGATGCTATCTCTAAATAAATAAAAATAAATAAATAAATAAATAAATAAATAAATAAATAAATAAATATCCTAATGAGTGAAGTGGGTGAGGGTGAAGTGGTAGCTCATTGTGGTTTTGATTTGCATTTCCCTAATGACTAATGACGTTGAGCATCTTTATGTGCTTGGTGGCCATATGTATCCCTTCTTTGGAAAAATGTGTATTAAAACTCTTTGCCCATATTTTGATTGGGTTGTCTGTCTTTCTTTGTTGAGTAGCTAGAGTTCTTTTTATATTTCTGGATACAAATCTCTTATCAGATATATGTTTTAAAATATTTGCTCCCACTCTGTAGGGTGTGTTTTCACTGTCCTGATAGTGACTTCTTACGCACCAAAGTTTTTAATTTTGATGAGGTCCAACTTACCTGTTACTGGAATGTTTATAACAACAAAACCACAGGAAAAAACCAAACAACCGAGAAACCAAACTCCCCAAATAAACAATAAAGGGAAATAACCAAGAGGCATTCAGAAATGCATGATACCTTCATACAAGAGACTCCTAGGTGACTTTGGATATAGAAAAATACCTAATAACATGGAAAGATAAAGATGAAGTGGGAGGAGAAGTTTTCAAAGTAATATGTTCTTTCTCCTTCCCTCCACCAACACAAAGTAGAAATTTGTCCAAATGCAGCAGTTTCCCTTGTGGGTGGAGTGAAAAGGAGTAGGATGGGATTTTGCATGCTCTTTATATTTCCCATTTCTCATTGTATTTGCTCTGGTGCCCCCCGGAACCGCCCACTTAGCTGCTCTCTTGCCCTCTCCTGACTCAGTCTCTTATGTTTCAATCAATCTCTGGAGGGAGGATAGAGAAAAGACAGGTGAACCCATCTTAGGGTGGCCCCAGCTGCTCCCACTGGGGAGCTCCATTTGGAGAAGGCTCCCAAGTCTGTCCCCCATCCAAGCCCTGGATTTCTTTTCTTTTCTTTCTTTCTTTCTTTTTTTTTCTTTTTCTATTTTTTTTTTTTTTTTTTTTTTTTTTTTTGGAGTCTCACTCTGTTGTCCAGATCTTGGCTCACTGCAACCTCTGCCTCCCAGGTTCAAGCAATTCTCCTGCCTCAGCCACCCAAGTAGCTGGGACTACAGGCATGCGCCACCATGCCAAGCTAATTTTTGCATTTTTAGTAGAGACGGGGTTTCACCATGTTGGTCAGGCTGGTCTTGACTCCTGACCTTGTGATCCGCCCACCTTGGCCTCCCAAAGTGCTGGCATTACAGGCATGAGCCACTGCACCTGGCCACACCTGGATTTCTTATCTGCCTCCTGGACCCCACCCAGAAAGAACAGGGTCATCTTCCACCTTTGCTATTCCATTCCACCACTACTCCAGCCCAATTCCCTGCCTCTCCAGGGGGCACTAGAAGCTCAGGAAAAGAGATTCTGCTTGGGGTTCTATTTCAGACTTGGTTCTTATCCTCAATTTCTCTGTAAAATGGAGATAATGGTTAGGTAGTTATGGGATTATGATGAGATTAGGAATGCAAAGCACCTAGAATGGTGCCTGGTACACGGCAGGCTCTCATCAGATGTCCGTTCCCTTCACTTGGTTCCCTTTCCCCACATTAAAAAGGCTGCTCCAGGTGAGACCTGATGACATACATTGAACAGACATTGTATTCACTGCTGACAAGCACTCCAAAGGAACCTTACTAAAAACTCCAGGTTGTGCAGTTTGCCTGGCACCACACAGTAGGAAGTGGAAGACTTGGACTTACAGCTCAGGGCTTTGGTCTCCTAGGGTCCCATTTGAGCAGAACCGGCCTTCCTGCTTTCCCTTCCTCTGTAGCACGGATGGGAGGGGTGGTCTTCCCTCTTCAGGAGGCCTTGGAGCCATGCTCCAACCCCATCTTGGTTTGCCAAGTCACGTGATCCCTGGAGTGGGGATGGGATCATCAGGGACTGAAGAGGACCATCTAGACAAAGGGGAGGGAAGTTCAGGGACTGGGGTCCATTTCTCCTGTGGCGGCAGATGCCATAGGGTGTTGGTACCAGTGCTTTTGGAGGGGTCCTCCTTGTCAGGGTGCTGTGGCCCCTGGGTAGCCCTTGGCAACAGGGGTGCCCCCAGGGCCCCTAAACCCAGACTGCACTCCTGAGTCTGAGCATAGCCCTGTGTCCTCAGGATGCCTCTCACCCGGGGCCCAGTGGGTGAACTGAGGCTGTCAACAGGACAAGCAGCCACCTCTTGGGGCCAGCTCAGGCTGCTGCCTTCTTCTCATGGGGCAGTGGTCCAGGTCAAGTCAGTCCTCAGCACAGCCTCTGAACAGGAAACACGGTCCCTGCTACAGCCTCCCCCACCCCTACCCTTCAGAGGCTTCTCCCTGGCCATGGGAGCCGGTGACCTACCATGGGGCCTCTCTCCACCCGGGGCCACTGCATCACCCCCACCAGACACGGGAGGCCTCCAGTTGGGATTTTAGTGTATTAAACCAAGGACTTTTTTTTTTTTTTTTTTTTTAACTTAGAGAAAACAAGAAGACATGACAACACCAGAAACAAGAACATGTCTCTGGCCAGCCTGTGCTGACCAGTACACAGTGAATCACGCACAGAAAAGTATGTCATTCCGGTCGGTGTCTAGAAGCTCCACCACCTGGCAGACTGCAAATAAATAAAGTGCATGGAGGCCCCATCACGCAGCAAGGGCCCCATCGGGGAGAGAAGAGGTGGGGGGAGGGGAGGTGGAGAAGCAGCAGGTGGAGCTACCACTTCAAGCAGCAGGCGTGAAAAGGCAGGGACAGGAGCAGATGCTGAGGGGCTCAGCCCTGCTCCTCCCCAGCCAGCCCCTCTAGGCCAATACAGCTACAGCAGAAGCCACGGGGGGGTGGGGCGGGGGGGGCGGGAGGACATGGATTTCCATGCCCCTCTTATGGGGTGGGGCTCCCTGCAGTCGGGGGTCTCTGAGGGTAGGGACCCCTGCAGCTCTGATGCACATTTCTCCCAGTAGGGAAGCAGGTTCCAGGGTCCCAGGCCGAGCCCCTTGCATGGGGAGGGCTCAGGCACCCCCCACACTCCCACACATGCAATCAGCAAAGAGCTTTCCTCCATCCATCCTGGCTGGCCCAGGAAGAGGGTGGAGCTGGGGATCCAGTCACCCAGAGGGTGACACCAGGGCTTGAAAGGGCCACATCTGTGCATCAGACACAAGGAGGCTCCTCACTCCTCTTCTCCTCCAACCCTGTGTCACTCTTGACCCACAGAGGTTGCCCCCAGAGATCTGTTGGGAGGACCAGCAGGCTGACGGGTCCCCAGAGGTGGTCCAGGGTGGACAGGGTTGCAGGGGATGAAAGGCCAGCAGGGTCAGGGGTTCTCAGGAAACTTGGGACTAGGAGGCACGTCATCAGGCCCTGGCTGTGGGAGACTGCAGGGGGCACAAGGCAGCCACTGTCCAGCCTCTTCTGGGGTGAGGCAGGAGGACAGTTTCATTCAGGACCTGGGTCCAGTGGGCAGCTGAGGAGGGTACATGGTAGGTGGCTGGGCCACTCTGTCCCTGGAGCTGGCCAGACTGCTGCAGTTTTCAGTCCCAGGAACTGAGAACGTGGCCCTCGGGGTACCAGTGCAAGAGATGGGGAAATGGGGATGGAGGGTGAGGGTGAGAGTCTCTTCCTGGCTCCCCTCTGGGCTGCTCCTGACCATTGTACACTGGTTAGCAGCACACCCGGGGGCCCCCAGGACCAATCCAAGCCGTGAGATGAGATTCTCCTGTGTGGTCCTGGGGATGGGGGGTCGAACTTGAGGAGAGAGAATTGGGGTCATGCCATGGGTCTCAGCCCCAGCACACCCCAGGTTTATCCCTTTACCTTCCTGGTTATGTCGTGTCTCCAGGAGCCACAACACCAAGATCACCCCCAGTTGCCCACCAAACTGGGAGGCTTGTGCCACTGCACTGCTGAGGAGCCCTTGGTGAAGCTCCAGGTGGGGTGGGGAGGTTAGGCTGTGGGGGAGAGCTTGGCTCCCCAGGGGTCCTGGGGCCCATCTCTTCTGTCTCCCATCTCAGCTGTCTGTCCTCCTGATCTTCCCTGTGACCTTCCGTACTGCTCTAAGGAAAGTGAGATCCCCAGATTCCCTACCCCTGGACCCCTCTCTCCCTTGGTGCCCCAGGAGCCCTATGCTTCCCTCTCCACTTCCCCTTCCCTCCTCCCACCATGCCAGGTCTTGGAGAAGACTGGGGAGGGGTGTGGGGGCCTGCAGGCCCAGGGGCACACACAGTTCCTCCTCCTCCTATCTGTGTGTCAAGGGCAACCCCCCACCTCCCCGAAGCCTCAGTTTCCTCTGTCATTAGAAGGGGGAAATACACCTCTCACAGTGCTGCTAGCAGATTTCAGTTCCCAGGGAACTCAGACCTTCCTTCCCAAGCCAGGACTCGATCCCTGGGCACCCCCACCCCGTGAGCCTTTGTCCATGCTGTGCCTCTACTAGGAAGGCCCTTCTTCTGTTGTTCAGGTCCTTCACGCTGCCTCTGCCCAAGCAGGTCCAGGGCCAGAGGTGCCCCAGGGCAGGGATGAGACTCTTGGCAAGGCCAAAGAAGGGGCAGGTCACTGCCAACAAACGCCAAAGCCTGAAAGAGAAAGAAAGAGATGGGGACCTCAGTTGCCTGGCCACCAGACACGTCCTTGCTTCCCCCAGGAATGGCCTCCTCTGCAAGCCCCTCCTCCATCTGCTCTGCCCACCCCAGGCTGAGAGCTGCTGTGTGCTCAGGGAGGTCTCTTTTTCCCAGATCACTTCAGTACACAGTAGGCTTCTAGAGGCCGTCTGGGGCTGGAGGATGGGACTCTGGCCCTAGGAGGGCCTTGCTAGCTAGGGGCCTTAGAGAGCATGGGCTGACATGGCGGAAGAGCAAGACTGTGGGGGAGGGGACGGTAGGAATGCGTCTCTCCCACTCTTCCCTGTCTCCAAATACAGAGCTTGCGGGGTGCCCTCAGGTAGGGGCAGGGAAACACGAGGGACAGCAGGAGCAGGCAGAGACCAGTCCTCTGGTCCCAAAGATAGGGCAGGAGGCAGTTTTGCCAAGGGCTGTGCAGGAGCTGCAGAGAGCCCCAGGGCTGAGGGCTGAGAAGAGAACAGACATGGGGCTCGGCCTAGAAGAGAACCATCCGCCCTATGCCCACCGACTGGGGGGAAGGAGAGGGGTGGGGGCATCGTTGCTCCTCTAGGGCCTTCCCGGGGCCACCCCCAGCCCATTACCCTCCATTCCCCAGACTGGGAAGTGGGCGGGAGGGGGCCACCCCTCACCCTATCCTGGAATGATGACTGGAGAGGAGGGGAGAACCTGAGGCTGCCTTTCCTTTCCCCAGCTGGGCTCCACAGCTCTTCGGGCTGGTTTGCCCCGGTGCCTTCCATATTTCCCCCCGACCGCCAAGGCGCCCCGACCTCTGGAGGGCAGAGCCACCGCCCCTCCCCCATTCCAACCTGTCGCCTCCTACCTTTCTGCTCGGGGCCTGGAAAGTCAAGTCGCCGCAGCAGAATTCCCTCCTTCTGGTTTCCCCCTCTTTGGCCAATGTGAGGCAACAGGTAGGCCGAGCCCAGGTAGTTTCTGGAGCCCGATGGTAGGGGCCTGTTCAGTGCGTTTCTGCGCGATCCGGGGTCTCCGGGCTGAGACCGCGGCCGGGCCAGGGCTGGGCCTTCGTGCTTGGGCGGCGGAGGTCTAGAGTCCAGGGGCCTGGGCCGCCCCGCCTCCGTCCCCCGCCGCGATCCAGCTGTCCTTCATGCCGGCGACCCGGCGGCCGGGGGCGGGCGGGGACACGGGCGCCCCTCCAGCCGGGCCTCCGCCACCGCCGCCGGTGCTCACTCGATCCGCACTTGCAGGCGGACGTTGAGCATCACTGAGGCCACGATGTAGAAGTAGGGGAAGTTCATGCGCAGCCGCCAGGCCAGGTCGAAGAAGGTGAGCAGCGTGCGCGTAAGCCCCTTGCAGAAGGCGCTGTACGAGCCTCGGGCGGCCGCTGAGCGCGACAGACGCACCGCAAGGCCAGACAGGGCCGCCGCCGCCGCTGCCGCAGACAGAGCCGCCGACGCCGCCATGGGCCCGGGCCCCGCGCAGGCCCCGACGACTGACCGACCCGCACGAGCTCGATCCTCACGGCGGGGGGACCCCAACACTAGCGTGCCCCGCCGGCCGCCGGGAGAGCCCCGTCCGCCCCGCCCCCGCTCTCGCCCCGCCCTCGCCCCGCCCCCGGGTTCCCCAGACCAAGCCTGGCTCCGCCTCGGCCCCTCCTCCACGATCCCGCACAGCTCCGCCCCCTCCACACCTCCTCACTGCGGGCCCCGCCCACTAGCCTAGCTCCGCTCCTAGCTTAGCCCCGCCCCCGGCAGAGAGGCCGTCCGCGCAGTGGCCCCGCCCACCAGACAAGCCCTGCAGTCTCAGCTCCGCCCACCGTCCGGTCCCGCCCACAAAGCCCTGCCTCTTTCCGGGCGCCTCCCAAGGCAGGAGCTGCCAGGGATCCCTGGGACACTGTCTCCTAGGGTGGAGCAGAAGTGGAAGAGGACAGTCTCGACCGCTAAGCTGATTCTGTACAGAAAGCACATGCAGAAACTTCTGCCTGTTCATATCACCCCCCTTCTCCCACGGTCTCCCCTGAAAACCTGCCAGCCAAGACCTTCCTTTAATTCGCATTCCTCTTTAATGCGCATAGTGCAGTAATTCTGCGCTACAGAGTGCCACCAAACCCATACGCGTGCATTTTTCCCTTTCTGCTATATTTGCTGGTCAGGTATATCTCTTTATTGGCGAATTTCCCCGTTGTCCTTCCCTTTTTCAGCGGTTTTCTTGATCCATACAACGTTGTCGCGGGTTTTCATTTGCTCTTATGGCTTTTTTTTTTTTTTTTTTTTTTTTTTTTTCGCCAGTGTGCTTAAAAGCCCTTTCGTGGTTTCATTCAATCTTTATTAAACGTAAACCAATCAAAACCCAGTAGCGCTTTTTCAGACTGTTTAATAAAGCAGGGAATTGCTCACACTTCGTTATGGTCATGACTTTTGAAAAACTATACGCAAGAAGTAGGTTCAACCGACCCCATCCCAGTTTTCACAACAAAGATTGACGTGGGTATTTAAGAACTCTCAAAATACCTGTTCGCTGTCACACTTGATCATCTCTATGGTATCCTACGTTAACTGTTTAAGGAACGCAGTAGATTCATATACACTGATTGGGCAATTGTCCTACATGATCATGTAAAAAAAGACAAAACTGAGCATCGAGGAAACTGAAGGAGATGGTGTGGAGCATGGCTGATCGGTAGTCCACTTTTCCACCTGCTGCCAAACACAATTAAATAATTTTTTAGAGAAAGGGTCTCACTCTGTTGCCCAGACTGCAGTGCAGTGGTGTGGTCATAGCTCATGGCAGCCTTGAACTCCTGGGCTCAAGCGATCCTCCTGCCTCAGGCTCTGGAGTAGCTAGGACAACAGATGGGGCTACAAATTCTATATCCATGAATACACCTTTTGAGGATGAAATGGAAATAAAGATATTTTCAGATGAAAGAAGATTAAGAGAATTTGTGAATAACAGATCTATGCTTAAAGAATGGCAGAAGGAAGTTTCCTAAACAGAAATAACAGAAAGATGATGGCACTTCAGGAAGGAAAAAGAACAATTGGAAAGAGTAAATATAGGGGTAAATATAATAGATCATCCTCCTCATGAGTTTTTAAAATGATGTTTGATGGTTGAAGCAGAAACTATTATGTCATCTGATGTGATGCTTAGTATATATAGAGGAAATACTTAAAACATTTGTATTAAAAATGAGGCAGGTAAATAAACCTAAATGGAAGTAAGATTTCTACAACTTACTGGAAATGGTTTAAAATATCCATGGTAGTAGAATGTGATGTTAATATGTATATTGTAATTCCTATTGATATGGTTTGGCTCTGTGTCCCCACCCAAATCTCACCTTGAATTGTAATCCCCGTAATCCTCACATGTCAAGGGCCAGACCAGGTGGAGGTGATTCAATTAGGGAGACAGTTTCCCCCATACTGTTCTTGTGTTTATGAGTGAGTCTCAGAAGAGCTGATGGTTTTATAAGTGTCGGTGTCTGGCATTTCCCCTACTTGTCTCACTCCGTCCTGCCACCCTGTTAAGAAGGTGCCTGCTTCTCTTTTGCCTTCTGCCATGATAGAAAGTTTCCTGAGCCTCCCCAGCAATGTGGAACTGTAAGTCAATTAAACCTCTTTCCTTTATAAATTACCCAGTCTCTGGTATTTCTTCATAGCAGCATGAGAACGAACTAATATGCCTACAGTAACCACTGAAGTAACTATACAAAGACATATATTTTTAAAAAACACTATGGATAAATCAAAATGAAGTTCTAAAGAACGTTCAAGTAACCAAAAGGAAGGTCATATATGGAAACAGAAGAACAAGAGGCAAAATTAACAAAGAAAAAACGTATAATAATATGTCACACTGAAGTCCTAATATATCAATAATTAATGTACATGTAAGTGGTCTAAGCATACCAATCAAAAGACAGAGATAGGTAGAATGGATATAAAACAAAAACCATGACTCAAGTATATCCTATTTATAAGAAACTCACTTCAAATGTTCTTAATTTTAAAGATTTACTCATTCTTAAGCATAATTTAATGTTCCCCATAAACAAACCATTTCCCCCAAAATCTATACATGATTTTATAATGGAAATAAATTTTAGAAATTGAACTTGGAAGCTCGAAATCTTACAACTGGAGAGGATCTTTAAGACCATCTATTTTAATATCCCCCCTCATAGAGGACTTATTTTAACAATATCCCTGACCAATGATCAATTTCCAGCTGGTGCTAGAATGATTAAGTGACAGGAACTTCATTGCTTCTTAAGATGGTCCATTCATTACGTCGAACAAAGACAGTTTCAATCCATTGGTATAAATTCTAAATTTTACACAATAGTAGGTTAACCCTTTAGCATGGTAGACTTTCAGACAGTTGAAGTAACACTCACGTTTCCTTACTAAATATTTGTTCTCCCAACAGCAAACTTTTCTTTCAAGTGTTCTTCATAAGGTCAATTCCTTTATCATCTGCATTGCAGTCCTCTGGAAATATGCCATTTTATCAATGTTTCTCTTAAAATGAGGCACCTGCAATGGGACTCTATACTACATATGTGGGGTACCAGTTTTGTTTTATTTTTTCTATATAGATGTTTGGCTTCAGAAAGGATGAGATTAGAATATGCTTATTTATTTACTAGTATTATTTTTAACAGCTTTTTTTGAGATATAATTTATATATCATAAAATTCATCCTTTTAAAATGTGCAACTCAACAGTTTTTAGGATATTTGCAAAGTTGTACAACCATCACCACGATCTCATTTTAGAACATTTTTCTTCCACAAAAAGAAACTCTGTATCCCTTAGCAATGAATCCCCATTCTCCCCTCCCCCCATCCCCTTGTAAGGGGCTATTTTGATTTATCTATAGTGGTTTTTTTTAAAAATATATGCCTTTTTATGGTTACTTTAGTGGTTACTCTGGGTATTACAATATACATATTAACTTATCACAATCTACTGGCATGGACATTTTAAACCATTTCCAGTAAGGTGTAGAAATCTTCCATTTAGGGCTGTTTACCCTTCTCACTTTTAATACAAATGTTTTAGGTATGTCCTCTACATATATTGAGCATCACATCAGATGATGTAATAGTTTCTGCTTCAACCATCAAACACCATTTTAAAAACTCATGAGGAGGATGGTCTATATTGGCAAAAGTTAATATACATTCTATCTCATGGATTTGCCTATGTTGGACATTTCATATAAATGGAGCATACAATATATGGTATATTGTGAACTGGTTCTTTTACTTAGCAGAAAGTTTTCAAAGTTCATCATGTAGTAAATATCAGTATTTCATTTTTTTATGGCTGAATAACATTCAATTGCATAGATAGAGTAAATTTGGTGTAAATCAAAAGTATCTGTGAGAGGTCCCAATCAACTTAGAACGTTTATTTTGCCAAGGTTAAGGATGCATCTGTGACACAGCCTCAGGAGTTCCTGATGACATGTGTCAGAGGTGTTTGGGGTACAGCTTGGTTTTATACATTTTAGGGAGACATGAGGCATCAATCAATACATGTTAAGATGGACATTGTTTTGGGCTGGAAAGGCAGGACAACCAGCAGCAGCGGAGTGGGAGACTTCCAGGTTACATGTAGATTTAAAGATTTTCTGATTGGCGATTTGTTGAATGAGTTATTTTCAATAGAAAGGAATGTCTTGGTTATGAGAAAGGGTTGTGGAGACCAAGGTTTTATCATGTAGATGAAGTCTTCAGGTAGCAGACTTCAGAGAGAATAGATTGTGAATGTTTCTTATCAGAGTTAGAGTCTGTTCTATCAGTAATTCCAAAAGGGAGGAGGGTATAATGAGGTATTTCTGGGTCCCCCTTGCAATCATGGCCTGAATAAGTTTTTCAGGTTAACTTTGGAATGTGTTTGGATGAAAGGAGGAATCCATTCAGATGGTTGTGTGGCCTAAGAATTTTATTTTTGGTTTATGATGGACGTTTGGGTTGTTTCCATTTTTTTACTATTGTGACTAATACTGCTGTGAATGCTTATGTACAAATTTTTGTGTGGGCATATATTTTCATTTCTCTTGGGTATATAACTAGTGGTGAAATTGCTGGACTATGTGGTAACTCAATGTTTAACTTTCTGAGGAACAGCCAGAGGGTTTGCCAAAGTGGCTGTACCATTTAACAATCCCACTAGCAATGTGTGAAAGCTATAATTTCTCCACACCCTTGCCAACATTTTTTATTGCCTGTCTTTTGTATTGTAACATCCTAGTGGATGTGCATCTCATTGTGATTTTGATTTTTATGTACCCAGTGACTAATTATGTTGAGTATGTTGTTGTGTGCTTCTTGGCCATCTTTGGCACAATGATGTGCAACCATTACCACTATCTAGTTCCAAATCTTTTTTTATCACCCCAAATGATACTCATTAAGCAGTTACAACCCATCCTCTTTCTGGTCCTAGCTGGCAACCACGAATCTGCTTTCTGTCTCTTTAAATTTGCCTATTCTGGATATTTCATACAAATGAAATCATACAGTATGTGTTCTTTGTCATTAGCTTATTTCACTTACCATAATGTTTTTGAAGTT